CATCCCGCGCATGCTGCCTCGACGAAGACGAGAGACAGGGACGAACGAAAAGGGTGGTTACTGGGCCGAAAGGAAAAGAGCGAGGGTGAAAGGATGGGTTGCGAGGGAGGGTAAAGGAGTCCGGGGGGGGAGAGAGGGAGAGAGAGAGAGAGAGAGAAAGAGAAAGAGAGATTGCCCTAGCGGTACATCTAGTCGTGGTAAACCGTGTGAGAGGTGAATAACGCGCTCCTAATCCAGTCCGTTCGATTCTCCACCCCACTCCGTTCCTTCGAACGCGAAATATCTACCATTTTCCCGAGTTGGTGTGTCAAGCGATCCTCGCTCGGATAGAGTGATAGTGCGTGAATCAGAATCAGGACGCCGCCGATTGCTTCGGGATGACAGACGGTGAGCGATTGAGAATGTGGATTGACAAAATTTTGTCGACTTAAAGCCGACCGTGTCACACGGGGAAGCTTGAATTATTTACTAAACACTAAACAGTAAGAATTTTCGGATAAAATTATTAATCGTCCATATTTTCTCTTTCTTATATGTAATATTGTATTGTTATAGTTTTCCATTACAATATTGGCAATGTGTGTTTTTTTCTCATACATTCTCCTCTCTCTCTCTCTCTCTCTCTCTTGCTCTCTCTCTCTCTTACGTCTACTATTGCAATGTCGTTTTATTTTTGGTTATTCTTTTCTTATGCTGATTAAATATTATATAAATATTTTAACTTAATTTGATAAAAATATTTGTTATCTAAATTCTGAATCTTTTTCTTATATGCATATATTTTTATATAGAGTTATATTCAACACGTACATTATATTTGTATAAAATGGAATAATATTGAAATAAGATAACATAGTATTATAGCAACAAATAGAGAAGAAATTGTTAAAAAATTAAGTATAAATTTAAAAAAATAGAAAAATATGCATGAACATTTATATTCATTTTCTCAGAATAATTGCATTTAACTTTTTTTGATGCGCTTTGGAAGTCGGATTGAATTTATGTCTTTTAATGAATATTACATGTAACTTTAGAGATAATGAACTTGTCGTTCATTTTACTCTACACTTGTTACATTACAGGTCTGTGCTTCGTAGCTATACTACGTTTCACTTCCTTGTGAATACATATTGTACTTAAAATAGAATAGATATATATTATAATTAATTATTGGGGGGGGGGGGGACAGAGGAAAGATAACAAGTAAAAAAGTCAGTAAAAAAGTTCAGCTACAAAGGCTAAATCTTATATTGCACAAACTCGACAAGAATTAAATTATTATTTTAAGTTATATTACATTTTTCGAAAAATTAAGATCACTTTCATACGTCTATAACCGAGTGTCTATAATCGAGTGTCTAAACTTGTTGAGATTATATTGATTTTTTTTTTATACGAATATTTCGGACAAATATGAACCGCTAAATAAAACTCGATTAGGGATTTCTTTCGAATTTTGTTGGGCGTTTCCCTGAAATGTATTATTGTGATTAGAATCATTTTTCGAATGTAGGTTGTGTGTGCACGTGTTTTTTATGACGTATGTATATTGATCGATTTGTAGAGCAGCCAAAGGCATTGGTAGAATCAATGTAATTGTATACCCATTTATATACGCGCGTGTGTGTACTGTGTATACACACATGCATAAGCGTTTTGCAAAAATATTTTTACAATTAATTATTTATCGCTAATATAAATTAGCGAAAAGAAATAATTGCAAAATTATCTTGCTAATATTTAAAAAAATTTCAAAAATATTTAATATAAATATTTACAGCTAATCAATTAGCGCTAATATAAATTAGTCAAAGGATATAATTACAAAATTACTTTACTGATATTAAAGTTCTGTGCAAAATTTATGAATATCTAATTTTTTTAAAATGATTACATATAACCTTTATGATCGGAAATTATTAATTATCATATGCGAATAATGTAACTGTTATCATGCTAATGTGCAATTGCGATTTGAGAATGAAGCATACACGAATAAAGCGTGCGCGCATGCTTTGATGAAAATTTCTTTTAAATTCTTTACAGAATTTTTATATAAATTTCGGAATTTTTTAGAATTTTTGTATAATTTTATTTTAACTGTATAATTTAACTTTTGAAAAAATTTTTCTGATTTTTTAAATATAAATTGGAAAACTTTTCAGAAGAGCTGTGAATGTTGTTTTTGAAAATTTTTTATATATGTGAATTCTGAAATATTGTGAAATTTCTTTTTATTTTACAATTTCTGAAAAAACAAAGTCTGAAGAATTTAAGATTGTTATCAAAAAATTTTCATAAACTTTAAATATGAAAAATTCTTAAAGATATTATTAGATATATTATGAAAACTGTTTTTATCAGGGCGCTTGTGTGTATAATTGTTTTAGTTTTATTTATTAAAGCAAAAAAATGGGTTAAGTAAAAAAATTGCACTTTTTGATACTTCTAATAGTCTTTTACGATCCGTGCACGTGTGTATGTTTACGAACATGTTTACGTATTATAATACATTGAACTTTATATCCAGAATGCTTAATAAGGTTGGTAAATTATAATTATCCCATGATCATATTGTAAACAATTTTATTATATCGCATGCGATCAGTGTCGGATTAATAAATAAAGTCCATGAGGTTAATCTATATTGATTAGCTGGATAAACGTGTACGATGTACTTTTTATTCCTATGACAACAGGGACAATGACAACATGAAGATGAAGCACATATAGAGGTCATACTATTTTGCAGGAAGTAATTTTGCATTCTGCGTAACGGCAGGCATTAACGCTATTCGAAAACATTAGAATTTTATATGCAAATAAATCACAGATAACGCGGTGATTTTCTGAAAACTACATTTATATAGATTTCCAGAGAACAAAAGATGAAAGATTCTTTATTATAATATAACAATGAGTTTTGATATTTTAAACACTGAAAATAATAATAAAATCTTACGTTGCGATTATTGAGTTATAGACAAAAATAATTATTGATAAACAATATAGGACACAAAGATTAAAATCAAAATTAATTTACTTATTGTTAATGTAAACTTATTATTATTATTATTAATATAAATAATTTAAATGTATATTATACACACATAAGTAACAAAGGTTGAATAAAATTTTATTTTTGTTTATAATACAACTTTAGCGACATATTTCTAAATAATAATCTTATAATTTTTCTAACAATTTTGTGTGTCTAACATTGTTTATAATTCGAAAAATTAAAAACTATTATACTCAGAGATTTTTCGCATTACTTGAACTATGAAATTAGAATTGTTAAATCGCGTTGCCAAAGTTAATGAACCGTTCCGTGAGATATTACTAACAAATATTGTAGATTTTTGTTGCTTTGCTTTTTTTCCAAAATAAATTTAAATTACCATTCAATTTTAATTTTGTTTCGTTAAAATCTTATCTAAAAATTTAATTTTAATTTTAATTTTAGTTCTAAATTTTAATTTAACACTTAACTAAAAATTGATTGTAATAAATATTTTGATTAATATTTTGTTAATAATGCAAGTTCTTATCATCAAAGTCATCGATTGCAAACTTAATACAGAAAGACGAACAGCACATTGCAAGTATCTGAAGTATCAAGTTTGACAGGAATGTAAGTTAGGTCAGAGTCGGAAATATCCACTAGACATATCAGATAGTGTATATTCCACAAAAACTTGACGATAACGGTCACGGGCAATTACGACAGTCGATAGCGACGTAATTGTGTTGACGATGTCGCTATTCGATAATGACTTTTTAGGACACATACCCAACTTTGTTCAACTATTGACGAGTGCTGTAATTGGAAATTAGGCCACTAAAGGCTCCTCAATTAAAAAGTTTAATTGCAAACTTTTTAAATTCACATTAAATAGAAACAATAGGCTCCAATGAATAAATTAAATACAGTGAAATATGAGAACCTATCTTTAAATTAATTTATACATGTATAATTTCCTTTATATATTTTTGTATAAATTCACTAAAATATAGGCAGTTAGTTTAAAAAAGATTCTTATTGATGAAATTTGGAAATATTGAAACAAATAATACCAAATAAATATATATTCAAAATTTTTGATGTAAATAAAAATTAATTGAGATAACATTAAAATAATAGTAAGAAGTTTGTAAGAACTTACAAATCGCGGATATAGGATGACCTTGACCTTAAGATGTGTTATAGTTGATGTCTCTAATGTGATTTCGAATTAAGTGGGAATGCTCCTGATTGACAGAATATGTGTTATTTCAAAATATTCTAATTTCTGCGCTTAATTTTGAGCTAAAGTGAATTGTATTACGTTAGATTATAAATTTTTTTATAAAACGGGGATGCAGAGTAGGGAGTTTTGTTTTGCTTACAATTCCCTTAAGCGTAAGAATAAAATAATTAACAACAATACAGATAAACCTAAAAATAATCTATCTCGGTCAAAGCAAAGTCTATTATTGGTATTTAATAATATTTTGTGTGAATCTATACATATTTATATGTATACTCGTATTTACCAATTGATGCAAACTGCGCGCCAATTATTTATCAGTCTTGAAGCACAATCCTAAACTGAAGCTGAAATCGTAATATCACGATGAAATAATTAAAATGAAATAATTGCTTAAAAATTTCTCAATACCTGCGATCACTATTAACATTACATTTTATTGAATTTTTTTTAACATCTTAAATCTTTGACTAACGTATCAACACTTGAGTTTATGTTTTATTTACATACGTACATACATTTTATGTGCGTGTACTTTGTAAGTTTTATTTGTGCCAAAAATCATTTTAAAAGTATTCACTCGGGAGCATTTGGCATGTTTTTACTAAATCTCTTATGATAATCGGAAAGTCGATACACAAATAGCTTTAATACGACTTGAAAATAAATTCTTTGATTAGACATTTACTTTTTATTTTATGCATATATTAATTGTTTTGAGTATTAACGTATAATGTTATGTTGCAGCGGATGACAGTGCAGCGGGAGATTCGACAACATGCGGGAACATCTTGGTGATATTATCATGGATTCTTGTGATATTGACGATGCCATTCTCTCTCTTTGTTTGTTTCAAGGTAGGATACTTTTTCGAAGGAAGAAAAGACTTTAAAAAAAAAAATTCTTTGAAATTTCATTCTCATTTGCATTAAATTTCTTGCTATTCGTCGATAGTTGTGAAAGTGGACGTTTAATGAGCAATGTTATTTCAGTGTAACTATAGTTACATGGAGTTTATGCATAATGCTATTTTTATCCACAGTACATACATATGTGCTCGTTTTTGCTACGATCTTATTATTATAACGGAGCTCATTGAGCGAGATACGTATCAGTGCGCAGCTATTATATGCTTTCATTAACAGGCCATTTCATTAATAGCCCGTATCAGTAATCTTTCTTACTAATTCTACAGTAAAAATGAGCATTAATTTGTATGAGCATAAATTATGTCACAGTACTAGTTATCGATTAATTTTGACGACTTTAATTTTACCGAAAAAATTTATTTCAATTAGACTTTTTATTTTATTTTTATTAATCATTAGTAAAATTGTATTTGATTGTAATCAATTGTATTTATTAAATCAATTAAAAATATAATGGTATATATTACATAAAAAATTATATTGTATTTCTTGTAAAATTCTTGTAAAATTGTAAGTTATGATATAGAATATATATATTTTTAAATTTACAGGTTGTACAGGAATATGAAAGAGCTGTCATATTTCGATTGGGACGTCTTCTATCGGGCGGCGCTAAGGGTCCTGGTAAGATTAACATTAGTATATTAATTCATTTGTTTTTTAGAAAATATAATCTGCTTAATTGTATAGTGTGTATACAGATAGTTACGTATACTTTATCCAAACTTTTGAAAATTTTTAAGTAATTAACAATATCAGTCATATAAAAAAATATGCATTCTGTATCATATAAAAAAATTTGAATTGTTTTAAATATCATTTGATACTGAACATTCTTCAGAGTTTTTATGTCTGGAAATACTGGAAAGATTTTAATATTAGATATTATTTAATTACAGAAAATTTTCTTTTACGAAAATCCTTAGATATCTAAAAAATATTTGGGAATTCTTTAAAACAAAATTATTATCTACATATATCTATATGTATAAAATAATAATGAAAATAAAGATAATAGAAAGTTAATAAAAGAAAAAAATACTTTTCCATTGTTTCCATATATAACAAGAAATGTCTAAACATACATTTAATATATATTTGCTACTTTTTTTTATTAACTATAGTTTTTATAAAAAAAAACTTTTTTGTATTGCATTATATGTAAGACAGTATAAAATATCTTTGTGTGTGTGTTAATTTTTATATATAAATATATAATTTTTTGTACTCTAAACAATTTAAGCAAACATTTTAAGCTTTTTTTGTTTATACGAGCAATATAAGTTTCATCTCTCTATTTTTATTATTATGTTATGTTATTTTATAAATATAAATATTAACTTATTATAATAAATATATTACTAATTATCAAATCAATAGTCCTACTACTCTTGTCAGAGCGTAGTGACCTCTTCTCGTATTTCTGCGATGTGCGCTATTTACACTTTTACGCAGATATACGGGACTTACGATTTTAACGCTGGTTTCGAACGGCCATTTTTTAAGAAGAGGTTCTCTTTGGCAAAGATACTCTCAGTGATTTGCCATTGCCTTCCGAGAGGCGGCGATCGCTTCTGAATTGATTAAAATCAATTTCAGAGTTATATTATTATGGGTGGATTTGAACCCGGATCTTTAGCTTATAAAGCTACCGCGCTGCTCCTTGCGCCACGATCGCCACAATTATACTAATTATAATAAATATTAATTTATTACACAGCGCCGTTGTTTTTTATAAAAACTAAATAGAATAAATTGTGTGATTAACGTATATTTCTATCTATATATATATTAACATATATTACTACACATTAAATATATATTATATTAGTTTTACATATACTTATTAAAACATATACACCTTTATATTATGCTATTACATTATAAGAAAAATTCCATAGTTTTCACTGTGTAATATATTGTTAAAATTGGAAAGACAGAGCTAGCGATAATTTAATTATCGTTTACGATACTTTTTACGGCATTTTTTTGTTTATATTACTCAACATTTCAACATTTCACTTTACGCACGATTTGTAATCGTTTATCGTAGTCGATTAATCATGTTTACGCTTATAGGAATCTTTTTCATTCTGCCGTGTGTGGACAACTATGCGCGCGTTGATCTGCGTACGCGAACATATGACGTACCCCCGCAAGAGGTAATTGCATGCAATCATCTTTAATATAAATGTCATTTGAATATTACTTGGACTGTATTCTTACTGATACATACATAAAAAAATATATTAAATATGTATATTGAATATGTTAATAATATAAATTTATTTATTTATAAACTGTAATTGGTATTCGCTCCGATCTTAATTAGTATTCGTGGATTATACCCGACAAAACTTTAATTAATGTATCTTTGCTTAAAGTTAACGTAACAGTAGAACATTTTTTTTCAGATTTTGAGAAGGTAAAAATTTAAAGAATAAGATTTTATGTAACTTAAAATTATGTAAAGTTTTAAAAAATATTTGTTATATACAATTATAGTAATTTTTTAGAATAATATTTGAAAATTTGGCGCGTAATAGAAAAAATTTCCGCACTGGATTCGCGAATACCAATTAGAATTAAATAAATTACTAGAATATAGAAATTATAGAAAAAAAATATATATATATGTGCACGATAAAACTAAAATAAAAAATAAAAAGATATAGAAAATACATATATAGAATAAGAAAATTAAAAGTATATTAAATATAGGATATTAATGTTAATATTGATAAAATTATATATCTAATTATCTAAAAATTAGGTCTTGACGAAGGACAGCGTTACAGTATCTGTTGATGCGGTAGTTTATTATCGTGTTAATAATGCGACCATTTCGATTGCGAATGTGGAGAATGCTCATCATAGTACAAGGCTACTGGCTCAAACGACCTTGAGGAATACCATGGGGACACGACCGCTTCATGAAATATTGAGCGAACGAGAAACAATCTCCGGAAACATGCAGGTATATGTGAAGTTTAGGCACGCTATCTTTAGGGGAAAATATGAATTAATTAATCAATATATATATTAACGACATTTTGATGATTTTCATTAGGCGTCCCTGGACGAAGCCACTGATACATGGGGGATAAAAGTAGAACGAGTCGAAATGTAAGTATATAAATCGTTTATCGTAATAGCAGTAATGGCATATTCAATAAAATTTTTTTTTTTTTGTATTCAAGAAAAGTAACTATTTCTTTTGATGGCTGAATATAATCATTTCAACCTTCTTATAAAGGGACTCTTTCATGTTATAATTGAAAAATTTGAAGTTAAATTTATGGAGAAAAGATAGCACAACAATGAGTATTAATAAAACATAGAGTATCTAAATTGCACACTTTAAAAACCTTGCAAATTATAAGTTGTACGAAAAATTGTTCTATGCAAAAATATAAATTTAAAACACATAGTTATTGCAATATGTAATTACATATCATTTTTTAAGAGCAACTATGTGTTTTCTTTAATCTTACATTTATACTAATGCGTATACAATATAATAACAATATAACAACAATAATAAATTGCGATTTTTTTTCATGAAATTTATAGCAAAGATGTACGACTACCCGTTCAACTGCAGCGAGCTATGGCAGCGGAAGCTGAAGCTGCACGTGAAGCACGCGCTAAAGTAAGACGTTAAAGCTGTATAATGTAGGAAAAGATATACATATATTTTATTCATATACGTATATGTATATTAGGATGAGCTAAAAAAATTTTTTTTTGAAAATCGGTAATACCCTCCAGAAGTTAGCTATGGATCTTGATATGGTTTGAGTAAAATTTTATCGAAATCGATTAATATCTTCAGGTTGCCCCTCCACCTAGCAATTAGTAAGTTTATGCATTTCTTCATAGATGTATCAAAATTCGAAAAAATATCTGAATTTTAATACAGTTTGGTATTACCTGTTGTTTTTTGGTCGTTGAAATCCGAGGTCAGAAGTATACACTTCAAAATGACGGATCCGAAATATATTCTTAAATAATACATTAAGATTTCTCGAAAAATATGATAGATTCGGAAGTGTTTCAGATAAAAATTGTATAGTTCGGAGGAGGACATAAGAAAGTATCATTGATTTTGAACGGCGTCATTAAGATCAGATCAAGATCGCATCGATTTTTTTAAATAAAATTATATATATACCTATATATTTTTTTTACATAATACGATTCCTCTTATTATTCTGTATATAAAAGTATTAAAGTAAAGTTATTGAAAAATCAATATTTTACGAAATATTTTATACTTTATCATTCTATATTTTGAAATATAATATAAAATCAAGTTATAAAATAATTATTGTTTGTATATATAAAATAATAAAATAGAAAAAGAGTTAGGTCAAT